CATCATCTCCAATCTTGTAAATTTGAGCATCCAAATTCTTCCACCTTTAACTGAGTTTATCCTGAAAGTGTTAACCTGTAAATTAGCTAAGCCTTCCTTCATGATATCTTTGATCTATAAAGTGTTTCTTAAAGAATCAATTTTACTTCTCTTTGGAAAGCAAATACAGTGGCAGACCTGGATAATTGTTTACACAACACAGTCAAGGTGACAGAAACTTATTCAGGATCCCCTTCTACACAGAGAAGGCTCAAGTAAAGGAGGGGCTTGCTTTCATGATGCTTTCTGGTTAAGGGTGCTGACTCTGACTGCCCTGGCAAGGGAAAAGGGCAGTTCACTCACGGTTTTTATCTGGTGGGAAGGAAAATTATTTCATGAAAGCATTTTATATAGTTTTCTATAAAAAATGAGGAAATGCACATTCTTTAATCTGTAGATAGGATATTGTTAATTTCTAATTATTCATGTTCTTAAATATAGTGAAATATCAATGAACAAATGTCTGAGATTGTTCTTTTATTTTTTTTCATTTTAAGTTTTTAATGAAAGTTGTATATAATATTACTTTGTTCCTGCATCTTCTCAATTGTTTCTTCCTTGTATTTTCCCTTTCCTACTTGGTGAGATTTGGCTTTACGTTCATGGATCTTTTTGTGGTCTTTGTCCAGCTTTAGTCTAGTGATAACCACCTTGCTGGGGTGAATGCCCACATGAACAGTTGTCCCCTTAGCTTTCTCCTGTTGCAGTCGTTCAATGTAGATGACATATTTCTGCCTGTGAACCTGGACTACTTTGCCAATTTGCTGCCCTTTGTAATGTCCTCGAACAACCTGAACCTCGTCATCCTTTCGGATGGGCATGGACCGAACATTGTACTTCTGTCTCAGCTCTTTGGAAAGAGGAGACATGATCTTCCTTCGAATGTGGGAAGGTGCATTGAAATGCCTTTTACGGTTCCTGCTCCAGTCAGAAGTCACAAAGGGGTTGAACTTCATTTTGACCGCTGGCCATCGTATACGATGGCCGCCTGAGATTGTTCTTTTATGTTGCCTGTGTTTTTAAATTTGTTTTGTCACCTAATCTGAAGTTGCCTTTCTAACTGACCCTCTATGAGAATACCTTGATTCAAACTTAGCATTGGTCCCTTCCCATTTGAGAGTAAACGAAGTTGATGCTAAGCAGCCATCCATCCATTCCTTCTACTGTCTTTTCCTAGCTGACACTAAACAGTCATTACCTCTGCAAAGTCAGTTTCTCCATGACCTTTCTTCATCCTCACACTCCATTGGACCTTCTTTGCCAATCAGCATTTAGGCCCTTCCAGTTCCCTCCACCCATCTCCCATTGGCATCTGCAGAGAGCTACTGTCAGCCATTTCCCATTGCTTTTGTAAACTACTTGCTCTCTGTATTAATTTATTTAACTGCATGAATTCAATTTTTTTTTCATTTTGTTTACTTTATCTTAAGTTATTTAGTTTTTAAGAATAAAGGCATTAGTAAGTAAGTGAAAAAATTATTTCAGGGAAGATAATCTTCCTAAATCTCATTCATCAGCTCTCCTTCCCTGAGTCACCTGATGCCTTAGAGATGAGTAGTGATAGATTGGCTCAGGCTCAGTGACTGCAGGCATATTCTTTGGAGTCTGCATGCCTTATGCTGAAATCTTTAGGATCCGGAGTCTCACAAAACCTCACTGCAGCCTCACCTACTGGCCCCGCTCTTGCTTCACTTACCCTGATCTCTTCTTCCAGGGCAGAGTAGATTAGCAAGTGGGGAGGCAAGGAGGATGGTGGGAGTTCCTTCCTGTTTTTAACCAAAGATGTTTCTTTGGTGCATTCATTGTTTTCTAACATTCTGGATGTTATTTCAATTATGCCCCTGCCTTCTTATCATTTTTGTACCTGAAATGAACTATTCAACAACAAAAATATCATTGCAATGATAAGAATGAATTTTTTTTACCAGCAAAATTAATGTTTCCATAGACTGTTACATTGTGCACGAAATGGTACAAAACATACCTCCTTGATTTCTCATCTCAAAGAGTTCTGTACTTCCTGGAAGCTCGGTGAGTGTGCTACTGCACTGAGCCTTCCCCTTGCACCATGGGATGACAGCTTGATCGCCGAATATGTCAGTTGGGCGCTGTTTCTCATATTTCTGAGTAGTACTCTAACAGGATTTATAAAAACATCATTTGGTTTTCACTGTAGTCATGTTCCCTTGTCTCAATACTTTGATTTTGCTTTTGCCACATTCCTACAGATGATTGAGGCTGACATTGAAATCTAACATATGAATTATATGCAGACTCTGTACCAAAATACAGGGTATCCAAAAAAAAATGTATACACACTTTAACAGCTGATAGCTCAATTTTGAAAATGAAATGTATTTTAATAAACACTGCCTTGCCCTAGCTGGTTTGGCTCAGTGGATAGAGCATTGCCCTATGGACTGAAGGGTCCCAGGTTCGATTTCAGTCAAGGGCACATGCCCAGGTGGAGACATGCAAGAGGCAGCCAATCAATGATTCTCTCTCATCATTGATGTTTCTATCTCTCTCTCCCTCTCCCTTCCTCTCTGAAATCAATAAAAATGTATTTTTTAAAAAATAAAATAAATACTGCCTTTATAATTATTCAAAATGTGTGTGTACATTTGGGAAGGACACCCTATAGACACACTGCCCAGGGATTTCTCAGGTTCTTCCATCAAAGAGAATGGCCAGAAACTGTTGAATCTTTCTAGACTGTCTCACAACGGCACTTTCAGATGAGACATATTTATGGGAGACAAGGAAGAAAAAGGGTTTCAGAAAGCTGCTGCATGAAAGGGCCTCATGAGATAAAGAAACTATAGTAACAGACTGTCATGTTGTATAACCTTCCTTCCTAGAATTCTTATTTTCATTTTTTAAAATATAACATTAAAGAACATGATATTTTTATGAGATTATCTTCGCGAAGCTGGTTTTTGGCTCTCTAATTTGCCTTCTTTAGAAAAATCTTGTAGAGGTTGAAGATTGGTCTATTTAATGAATTCTTGCTTTACATTTTAGTTAGCGTTAGTGGTATCTCTGAATCACCCTATAAATTTGTGTCTCTCATATTGATGCATGGATATGCGGCCGACTGCGGGAATAGAAATGATTTGTTTGAAGACCAGTCCAGCTTTTAGGAAATAAATATATGACTTTCCAGAAAGCTAGAAAACATTTGAGAATATTTGTGCTCATTTGCAATATTAGATCTGAGAGAGAGCATCCAGCTCAACTCCCTAATTTTCTAGATATGGACTCTGAGCCCAGAGAAGTTGAGTGACTTCTTTAAAGTTATTCAGATGACAAAAGTCAAATTCTAGATCTTATATTTCCAAATCTACACTGCACAACCAAATATTTTTATGTAACATTGGGATTAAATTTAAGCCCATAAAAAATCCATTTACCAATTGAAATCCCAGCATCAATCATTTCTAATTTTTGTTTTTATATTATCAGTCTCAGTCCTTTGAGAATTCATATTTTTCATGTTTCCCTAGTGGGAAACTTAAATATTTTGGTTTCCAATTGAATATCACACTGAAAGTACTTACATTCATTTATACTTTGTGTCCAATCAATGTATAACAGTTTGGGGGTTTTTTGTCTACAAACCATCCAATTTTCCTTTAAGTGATAAACTGGTAGCAAAGCTATTGATTTTCTATTTGGTACAGCCCATGATAAGTATACTTTGGGACCCTAAATACATTTCTTAACATGAAGTGCTACTTCTTTCAAGTTTTTTTTTTTTTTTTATCATAATGGGTGTGCACTCTGGGGCAGCCTCACGCCTGTTGTGTGTGGCATATACTCGCTGTGGGCATTTGCCAACTGACAGTCATTATAATAATAATTATTATTACAACCCATTCCTTCAGTTTCCTTTTATTAAGCCCACCACCCTTCTATCAACTAGCTGAAGAAACTGGTCACATGGAACACATTTTATTTTTATAGACTTTAAAGGACTGGTTACAGTTAATCATATAATACAACATAATTGTGGAATCTGAAAATTGGAAAGAACACTGGTAAGCAACCTCTTGTGTCTACTCTGGAAAAATATTTTAAATAAAAGTAAAGAAGTCTTTAACAAGTTTTCAACAACTAACGTAGGTTGTAGCCATTAAAATCAGTTCTTTTATATCTGGTCCAAATCCTTATTATCGCACTGGCAGCTCATGACTTATATTTATGTCTCCTGTGGAAAGATGAATGCTGTGAGTAGTATAAACAGAAAAAGAATATGTTTTCTTAAGATCTTTTAATAACTACCTATATTCTCTTGAACAATACATTTTTTTTTTCTTCTGCAATTTTTTTCCCTTTGGAAATGGCAAAAAACAACATTTTATTAAAAGGAAAATTTGGAACCAATTAAGTTAATGTACTTATGTGAATCTCCTGCAATTTTTAATAGAAGTAATTATTATGAAATGAAAGGAAGTGAATGATATCAGAATTCATTAACATCAATCTTGGGAATGATTTGCTTTGAAGGATAAATAGGAAAACAAAGTTCCCAGGCAAGCCGAAAATCAGTCCGTGAGTTTTTGTTTGCCACTGCTCATCAGGCTAAAGTGTCTATAATTTGGACTGGGGGATGGGAAGAGTCAGGGAGGGGGACTAAAAACTAGGCCTCCAAATAGATGCTCCTGAATTCAAATAGAGGCATAATCTGGTGCCTGGCTACATTCACAACCTTTATAGCATTTCTTTACCAAATAAGAATTTAGATTATACTGATTCTGAGCTGGAAGCCTTGACCTGGAATCTCCTTTGTTACTAAGGAAATGTCCTTGAGAAATAATAACCTTCTTGCTTCTACATGCCTGAGAACAGCACATTTGAAGATGGGGGACCAAAAGAAATACCCAAGTCAGAAAGCTGCAAGCCATTCAGGCAAAATCTGGTTGGAGAGGAAAGCTGTTCCCACGATTAGGGAGCTTCCCCGGCTAGCCTGTAGGTGGGTGTGTTTAACAGAAGGAAGCAATGGAAACCTGCCTGTCAGCCAGCCTTTAGAGCTAATTAGCTCAGCACACAACAAAGATAAGTGAGCCTGGGAGGAGGGCCCCCCGAGGGGTCTTTAGAGTCTGGGAAATGTCTGATTGGCAGATGTTAAAAGGGATTCTTTGGTAATCCTGTGCATCAATGAGCTGCACAAATTCAGTCCAGGACTGCAAGAATCCAGGCATGAGGACACTGTGCAGCAGGCTCACACAGGCAGACCCAAGATGGACAGAACCTTGGAATCCCTGAGACACATCATTGCCCAAGTCCTGCCTCACAGAGACCCAGCTCTAGTCTTCAAAGACTGTAAGTACTGAAGGGGAAAAGTTGTTTTACTTTTTTTAGAAAATAGTCCTAAACATCTAGTCACATCCTATTTAAATATGATTTCTTTTAAATCTCTGTAGTCGTGTGCTGTGGTCTAGTGATGTTTAACTTGTTCCTGACTTCAGTCAGAAGAATGATTTCATTTCATTTCACCTACGGGGCATTAGTTGCCGGGTTATTTTGTCAGTGATACATCTTGCTAATGGCTTAGAAGTCTCTCCTAAAATCTAAGGCTCACCTAAGACTTAATGAACTTTTCTAGATGCTTTTGTAAAATAAAGCAGACTGCTACTAAGGTTAAAATTAAAAATACCTTGCATATGATAATAAAATATATACTTGCTAATCTGTTTAATCTTTAATAACATATATTAGTTATGTTAAATCAAGTATTGTGTTTGTCTGAAATTTTTTTGTTGCAAACAAAAGTTAATAAATCACCACTGAGCTCTTAAATTTTGATAACAAATTATAACACATTAGTTAAAAGGCCAATGAAATTAGATGTCTTCCCACCTCTGCAACACCCTTCCCTTCTAAAAAATCTAAATAGCTATGGCAACGTTATTTAAAAATCTTCTTTTAATGATTATGAAAAATAACTCAATCAAGCTTTCCAAACCTGGCAGTACTATTAAACCATTTGTCATGTAACTTTGTTTCTGGAACCAATTTGATTTCCTGCTGCTGCAAAACAGACTGTCTTCCCCCTGTATCTTATCTACAGTGGGTTTCATATTACAAAGAGCTTCTGAAATAGAACTTTGCTATGGAACTGCCCAAAAGGTAAAATGCATATGGATTTTTTTTTTTCTTGTGCTTCAATAGGTTACAGCTTTCTTCTTTGTAAATCTTGCTATGTTTGTCTCCATCAAAACTTCAATGGTTTGGATTTTTCCGTTCTGATTGCTGAATAATGTTAGTTTCCAGATGTCCTTTTAGTTTATATTTCTCATATGTGTGATGAAAAAAAAGAAATGTTAGGCCATTTTATTCTATACATTTTTCTTCTTAGAAATTAAATTATAACTAATTTTCCCTTTAAGACATAAAATAAAAGATCTTTCTTTCTTTCTTTCTTTCTTTCTTTCTTTCTTTCTTTCTTTCTTCCTTCTTATATTGTATTCAAACATGTGTCAATAGCTATGTTAGGACTAATAAAATCACTCCCTACCCCAATCTAGCCTGGAGTCTATTCAGGTTTGGTATGTTTCTTTAAGTGAAAAGGGAAGGAAAGAATGTGTGTCTCATACAATAGCCCTGAATTCACCAATGAAGGGTAAATACGGGCTCTTGACCTGCCCAGAGCTTTGGATAAATTGTGTAAGACCAGGAGGTCTTGCGCTGAGGGTTTGGGTAGTGGAAGCAGTAAAAAGAAATACAGGGAAAATTTTTCACTGAGTTCATTGATCATTGTGAACTTAGGAAGTTTAATCTGAAATCATGGCCCACTTTTTAAAATGAATTAACCCCCAAAATTGTTTACAGTTTAGCATAGAGAATAAAACAGAAGAAGGGTTAAAATAAAGCATACATCATGTTCTTTCTGTCATCTAGGTCTTTGCAGAAACTCTTTTATATGGAAAATAAAGGAATGTCCCATTGTATGTATTTCACTCATTAACATAGAATAGAAATTTGACCAGATAGCATTGCCTGCTTACCCTAGAATGGGCTGCTACTCTGCAACTGACTGCATTGCTTAAAAGGTGTGAATATTACAACCCATCCTCTCCCTCAGGTGTTTCTAATCTGAAAAATGACCAAATGAAAGTGAGCCAAGTGGCAGATTTCTGCACCAGGAGTTTTTATAACATCAAAACATCTAGCCACTCACCATGCTCCTGGCATAAATGGGAACAGGCTTACTACTTTCTGGGGCAGGACATCAAAAGTCCGCCTGGGCCTTTGCCATGCCTCGGCAACCTCCCGTGTGCATGCCAGAGTTTAGCACACGGACTTATTTTCTTTGGCACACCTGTAAGTTGCTGCCACCACCTTCCTGTTTTACACAGCCTATAGAACGCTGCCGCCAGCCTTGAATGGCAGGTTCTGAGCAGCCTCCTCTCCTCATCCCCCACCCTGGCCCAGGCTCTTCCTTGCAGAAGAGAAGGTTAAGCACTTAAGCACATCACTGCCAATTGCTTAAGAAAAATTGTTACCTTACTTTCCTGCAAGATGAAAAGGCAATCCAAGAATTTTAAAAGCCCAGCACAGTTAAACAAAGGAGCGTAAAAAAACAACACTGTAAACGTGTTTTTCTAAATTACTTTTCTATAAATGCAAAGGCAGTTTTTTTCTCTTTATTCTTTAGAAACGCATAATAGAGGGGATATAAATGATCATTTTATTAATTTCTTGCTCTCAGTTGGTTTGTGATTTTATAAAAAAAAAAAAAAGCACTAGTAAATTGAATTTTCTCTTCACATTGGTTAGGAAAAGCACCCAGAGTTTCTAGTCTGAGACCAATGCCCATGGGGATAGTTACAGTCATTTAAATAAATAAGATTTGAATGCATGTCTCAGCCAAGGAGGCCTTCCAAGTGGCATTTTGCAATTCATTAAATCCCTCGTTTGTTTTAGGCAAGGTGTTCATCTGGCTGCTGCTGTCATTTGTTTTTCATTTTCTTTCCTTTACGTATTTTATTCATAAACATAGAATAAAACGACATTTTTTTTCCCTTTTCCCCATTTTACATCTCAAATGAAAAATAATGGAAAGACATTTTTAAAAGGTGGGCTCTCCATTTGAAGTTTGCTCTTTTAAGCTGTCTCTGACTGTTCCCCATACCTGAGTGTCCCCGCTGTGTAACAAGAAGCACTGGGAGATACTAGGGCATATCAGACAGATACTAGGGCATATCTCCCTGCTGCCTCCCACTCGTGTCTTTCTGCAGCATCTCATTTATTTTCGTGTCATGTGTCACAACCAAAGATGAGCTATGCTAAACACAGCCCCTGTCAGGTCTTTTAGGAGAGTGTGTGTGAGCTTCCTATTTGTTTGCCACTGTTTGACAGTTTCTCACATGCTTTCTCAAAGGAAATCACCGCATGATTTCAAGGTGGCTGCACTGTCAGATTCTACTCTGAGTGTTAACTCTTCAAATTACAAGAACACAGTATGCTTATCTGCCATCTTTGGGACCTTTCTTCATTGGTGGTAATGCTAGGATGCCAAGAACTCATGACAGACACGATACTAGGAACATGAATCCTTCATAGTAATGCAGATATTGTTGTTTATAGATGAAGGAACTGGGGCTCATGAAGGTTAAGATGACTTGCCCAAGGTCACACAGCTAGTAAGTGATTGAGCCAGAATTCAAATTCCTTCCAACTCCTCACCTTTAGTCACTGCCAGACATTGCCTCTCAGAGGTGTTGAATGATCATGTCATGGCAATATCTTCCAGGAAAACAGGGGGGATTGAAATGAACTCTTCTGGAAGTGTAGAGGGAACCCATCTAATGGGCACATCTGAACAGTATGACAGAGAGTGAAAGGGGAAGGGCATTTTTGAGGAGCGAGAACAGCTTGTCCAAAGGCAGATCAGGCAATACAAACACAATGCATGGGCCGGGAGGAGCAGGGGAGAGGGAGGCAAGGCTGAGGCAGGTGGAGTCACCATGGCACGCAGGCAGTCGGGAGCCATTGGAGTTAACAGTGATCCTAGATTAGTTCTGGAAGTTTATGGCTTTCTGTTGCATTGGGGAAAAGATTATAGTGACATCTGTAGGAGGTACACTTCCTGATACTAAGTTGGGAGACAATTACAGCTTTTTCACAGCAAGAATTATTTTACCCATTCCGGCAAGATGCAAGCTTTGTAAATGTAAACATGCCTGTAGAGAGAAACCACATTCACTGTCTGAAGGCCAAAATCAGACAAACTTTCTCAAGCAGACGGTTAAAAAGCTATCTGAGTTGTCATTGAAGCCATGAGAATGTGTTGTTTCCAGTACTGATTTATAAAGTGACATGTTAGATTTCACCAACATGTTTCCCCAAGTTGTATAATGAATAAAATAAGATGGACCCTTTACTAAACATTGCACAATTAGAAGGAAATATCTCACATATTTGGGGTGCATTAACTCTTCCATTTGGGGAAACATTTTTCTGCATAAAACGTCTTATTTATATCAGATAGGTGAATACTTCAAAAAGTATTTCTTACCCTTTGGAAAAGTTAGACCAGACTATAGAGCTATTAAAAACCTCTTAGTAATCATGAGTCTGGCTGTGTGCAATGCGAAAGAGCAAGATCCTCAAGAGCCAAGTATTTCCTCCATTTCATGCTTTTTAGTGTAGTTATCTAAGTCTATAAATTTAATGGTACATGTGTGTTTTTTGCATTTCACAGAAAAGAATGAAGTAGGATGTAAGAGATGAAGGTATTTGTGCAGTAAAATCTCTACACATATTGCACTGAATTCACCATGTAAAGCATGTCTGGAAGAATATGGTTAAAAGAACCTTCACTGCTCACAAGCTCATTTTAGAGAAATTATTGAATCATAATTACAATAATTTGAACTGTGGACATCTGGTTTACTGATGCCAATTTTACTTTAAAAATTTATGCTGAGATAATAACAACTATTTTTATTTGAAAATGCAGATTTCAGTTCAGATATCACTGGGATAAGCACCCTTCTCCTTTTTTTCAGTAAATACACATTTGGCAGAGTTTAAATACTGAAAGTCTCAGTCCCAGAGGAAAATTTTTTTAAATGGAAAAAAACTAAGTGGCTTCTTGAGCACTTAATGGCCATATCTGTCCTAGTATATTTATTTCTCAATGTATAAATAAGATTTAACAAATCAAAATAAAATGTGATTGACATTCATCCGGTGATCAAATCAGGTGCCTCTTCATGGTCTGCTGTCTCTTAACATAGGCTTTTTTTTTTAACAGTTAAGATTTGTTAGCCTGAACTCAAACTTTAACAACTTCTGAAACTCATGTGTTAAGTTAC